CTATAGAATTTATAGATGTATTACAAGAAACTTGAGAAATTTTTTTTTAAATCATCACACGTACGTCGTAGACGCGCTTGGTGATTTTTCCCGAAAAATTTTCATGCCCTTCCAAATGTGTCATTATGTTTTATTTATTTATTTTTTTTTTTTCTTGTATGTAGTTTAGTTTTTTTTTTTAATTAATTATTTGCAGAGTTATCCTGTTTTGAAGTTTTTATAAAATAACAAATTTGCGTCTAGGAGACTTACCGTTTCACAAAAGAGACGGAGCTCAGTCGAACGTGTGCATGTTGCATTCGAATCCAGGTATGTACATTTTTTTTAAAAATAATTTCTTGTTTTTTTTATACAAATGTGTGTATATAAAAGTCATTACAATAAATATTTTTTTATCTAAAAAATAAAAACATGTTTTTTGCTAATTTTTTTTTTTATCAATTTTTATTACATTTATTTATTTCAAAAATTATTATCTATTGTTATTATTATCCTCATCTTGCGATTTGTCAAAGGTGTCCGACCAGGGATCCCGAGGCTCCGACCCACGTGGGGCCTAACCAGACGGGATTATCCTGCAGACACCTAGTTCCATCAATACAATTTGCTCCCTCAGTACAATTGTTTCTTCTTCTATCTATTTATGTGGAAAAATATAACAACCGATCAACAATTTTGATGATAAATATCAATAATAATAAGTTTTTTTTTATGATATAACAATAAAACTGGCTGAAAAGTTTATCAACTTTATACATAGGTTGTTTCTCTTCGCTTATTACATCTACAATTTCATCTCTAACTCAAATCAATTGATGATAAGTCAATTAAAAAAATTTTGTGTCTCATGACAACACTTTTTATAATTCAGCTTACGATCACGCATTATCGTAACTAGCAGCCATAATATTACTTGCATTTAAATCGAGTATTTCTTTCAATCCAATAATAAAATATCAAAAGTTTCTCATCTACTTGAATGTAATGAATTATTTTGAATTGCTCGTACAACTGATCTGGGACTATCCATTAATTTGGAGCTTCTTTGAATGGGACCAGTGCCAGCATAAATTTTACTTACTTCATTTCGATGATTAATTCACATTTATCAAAAGATTTCTTCCAATCATGATACTATTCATTGCTTTTCGAATAGCTTAAGTAAACTTAATTGTTTTACAAGTATTTCTAATGCAATGTTTGCACGAAATTTGTTCGATTCTGAAAATCAATGCAATTGGTTTGTATCGTACCTGTTTGTTCAGTAATGACAGTCACACCTACTGCATAAAAAAATGAAAAAGAATATAAATATGTTTCAACCTTAACTTACAACTTATAAATATTACTAGTGTTGCCTCCACGGCATTCTTGATAATGATGAAAAAAAAAACAAAAAAACCATCAATAATTAATTCAGAAATCCACTTAGGAATCCACTTTTAGATTAGGTACTAATACATGGTGCATCATAATGTTTTGAAAGATTATGATAGATTTAAAATATTCGACTTAACCCAGCTTCACCTTCTTTACCTCCGAAAAACTTGATCTCAATAAATTTACAACTTGTTTGCAATAACGTTCTTTAATCATGCTCGTATGGAAAATAATTACTATAAAACTTTACTTAGGATTAACATTAATAAAAAAAATATAAAGCAAACTGCTTCAGTGATGTATAAACAGCTGTTCATTACCCAGGCAATGATACTTAGTTACCATCTAAATAGTAGAATATATATATATATATATATATATTTATTATTTTATACCGTTTCGGTATTATTTGACAGGTGGGGCCTCATTAAGCTCTAAGATGACCATTCATATCTCCAGTCTTTTTCTTGGGCAAGTAATTAATGACAGAGTTCCTTAATTACAGTCAGAAAACCATCCAGTTTTGTTCTTGGTACCTCAAGGGAACTAATAATGTTGTGAACCTCATTTATTGCTAAATGATTTGTTTTCTGTCCTGAAACAGAATAATACAAAAAATTAATTTTTAAAAAACATTGACTGTATTTCACATTTTTTGTAATGACTATATCTAACTTTTAGATGATTCTTGTTGAGTACATGACTTACGAGTTGTTGAAGTACTAGGGTAGAGTATTTGCAGCGGAGATGCTGCATTCTGTAACTGTTGATGTTGATGGCCTGACAATAGCTAGTGGAAGAAGGAAAGTTTCTGATTTTAAATTTTGAAACATAAGTCGTCGTTGAAAAAAAATTAGATGAAAATAGTTTATGAAAGATTTTTGAAGTAACTTTTTAAAAAATGAGTCATGACATTACAAAAATATTATGAAAATTATGAAAGTACTACTTATGGTCTTGACTGTTCGATTTAATCGAGAAAAGTCATTTGCTCGAAAAATCGGAAGGTTGGTAATGGTCGTTCTTCAAGTCTGGATCCACTGGGTATATGTATACATATGGAACTGCCTTCTGGCCTTCAGATATTGGTTACTGAGCGACTTCCATATTGTTTTTATTTTTTCGAAATCGATGTCTAAAAATAAATATTTTATGTAACTATTTGTAACTTTTTTTTTAGCGCAAACAGACAGACAGACAGACACCAGAAATGTATATACAGTAATGTATATAGATAGATAGTAAAAAATATAAATTTCTGATGTTTGTCTGTTCGGGGTAATCTTCGAAACGGCTAATTCAATTGCGACTAAATTTTGCAGACACGTAGAGGGCGTTGTCAAGATAGTTGTAGGTTACTTCTTGTTTAAATTAAATTTGTAATAAACTATGGAAAACGGGATCTAACCGTAATATGCTTACAATGCCTCAATCTGACCTGTCCAGACAATAGGAGTGAAAAGTACCCAGTTTGATATGAATTTAAATATTTCGACTTCTAATGACGCTGAAGAGATTTTTTTCTATAAAATTAAACTTCAAACGTTCTACGTACAAATATAGTATTTAAGTAAATAATTTCAATTACAATCAATAGAAGTAACATTAAAGTTGGAAAAAGTGTCGTTCAGAAATTTTGTGTTTTAAACGCTAAATCTTTAATGCTAATGGGCTGAAATAGAAAAAATTTCAGTGATTCAAAGAGCTTAGAAACGTACTAAATGATGCTGTCAATTGTTTACTAATCTACTGAAAAATGGTTCATTATTTGCCATTTGAATGCATTAAAACAACATATTCTAAAAAAGAAGTAAAAGGCAGGGCTTAAAATAAATAAAACATTGTTTACTTATATTTCATTTATATTTTTCTTTATAGAAAATATAAATAAATCTAAAAAAAATATTTTACGCATGATGTTTTTTACAGCACTCTGCAAACATTGGGTATCGATGCTTTTTACACATTGGTTGAAATTTTTTAAAAATCGTTTTCTCTCTTCTCATGCTCTTCTTCAGTCATTTTGTCATCAGTTGTTTCATCATTCGATTAATTTGATGGAATTTCTTTTTTGGTCCACTTATATAAATAGAATTAGAGTATTCGTCTGAGATTCTAAAAAAACTCAGCTGAGAAGGTTATTCGCGTGCTGTTGAAACGTAAGCAACCATTTTTAGAATTTTTGTCTGTCTGTCCGTCCAGGGTAATCTCGGCGATGGATTAACTGATTCCAATGAAACTTGTAAACATGAAAAAGGGAACATCAGAATTAATATAAGCTACTTTTCGTTTATGTAAATGGCTTGTAACAACTGAATTTATTATAAACGATTGAAAATAGTCACTATGCAATGTACCTGAAATTTGACAACACCTCATTTTTTCTTTTCCTAAAAATAAGTTTCTTCCTATCTTACATGAATAAAAACTGATTAGTTTGTATATGACAATGAATTTGTTATAAACAATTAAAAATGGGTACTTGGCAATATATTTAATATCTTTCAACGCGTAATTTCTTCTTTTACCAGAAAAAAGTTACCAACAGTGTAACATGAATAAAAACGTGGTCTATTTGTTGATGACTATCAAATTTGTTTTAAACAATTGTAAACGGGATGAACAGAATTGTCTTCATTCATAAGAATTAAGTTTGTTCAATGCACACTTGGGAATTGGAGCTATGCAATTAATCAGAGTTCTACAGACAGAGTGTTTATTTTTAACGAAGCAAAAGTACTGACTATGTAACATAAATTTTATAAAACAAATTTCTTTTGTTCATAACAAATAAATCGTTGCAAATTAGCATAAATCGAATCTTGCTATAAATTTCGAATTCTTTTTGTCTATTATTAATAGTTACAAAGTCATTACTTTCCTTTTAATACCATTACAAAGTAATACATATGTAGAATTAGCTCATTTCAACTATTATCTTACTATTAAAAATTTTTTTATTAATCTGTTGTCATATAACGTAATTATGCATATGTTCAAGCGAAATCGCGAGAATAAGCTAGTTATCAATAAAAAGTGTCTCTTGACCTGAGAAATACAGTATTTTCCCTTTGTTTATATATTCGTATCTAGTGTAATAAATATATTTGATACTTTTGATCGAATATTTATTTGTGTAAAAACATGATCAGTGAATATTTATGGTCTGGCAGTGATTTCAGTGATTGTTATTCATTTATGGGCAGAAGAAGAAAGATAAATACTCAACCTTTTTCTGTCAAATAAGAAATTAAATTTGTTGAATTTGTCATAAGATTTGCATGACGAATAGTTCTTTTCGTTACGTTAATCATCATAAGTTTCAATTCCCATAACATTACATGATACTTTGTAATTCATGTATAATTTTCCAAGGAATTGATGTATAAGAAATCCTCAACTTTATACGGTAAGAAAAGTAGGATTTAGTCTGAATTTCTAGTGTAAAAATTATGTAAGTTGTCTCTGTTTGTAGAAGCGTTGAATAATTCTTTATACGGTTTTCTTCATGTACAATAACTACCTTCGTGGTAACTATTCGATCAATAGTAATGTATAGAACTTACTTCAGTATATTGCTTGAAATGCATAGCAACGACTGTTGATTCATTCATATAAACATGGCGGTGTTTACACTTAATCTTCAAAAAAGAATTATTCCAAGCATTGTTATTAGTGGTAAATTTGATGGTTCTCATTCTTGTTTAGTAGCTGCTACGCGTGCCGGAAATATTATTATTCATAATCCACATCGCCAACTTGCGTTAAATATTGATACATCTTCTCGAACTGAAACGGATCGAAAACTACAATGGAATGGAGAAACTGCTGAACTGCGCATCGGGCAACAAGTATTTTTTGTTTTAGTAAAGAAAAAAATGTAAGATTTTCATTTAGACTAACGACATTTACTCTTGCAGATTTTAGCCTTGTGTAGTGGACGTCTTACAGACGATGAAAAAGATATTCTTCTTATCGGTACATCGACTCATATTTTAGCCTATCAAGTTGAAGAAAATGCTGAACATTTCTATAAAAGCGTATGATATCAATAGAATGATAATTATGAAATTAAGCAAGATAAATTAATTAAAATAAAACTACTCCTAGATTCCAAATGGAGTATATTCTATAACTATTGGAAAAGTTGGATGGTTTCCGAACTATATTGTTGTAGTTGGAAGCAACGCTTCTCTCACCATATTTGATTCTGAAGGGCAAGAAATTTTTTGGACGATTGTTGGAGATATTATAAGATCATCTATAATTTTTGATTTCGATGGTGATGGTGAAAATGAGGTATGAGTCACTACAGTCTTTCAATGTTTAATGAATATGGGAAAATTTCTGAACGTATATGAATCATATAAATAAGGGATGAAAATTAAATCAACAATTGTAAATGCTTAGAAATAGAGAACATATATGAGAAGGAGATGTCACCTGTAGTTGCTTGCCTACCTATCAAATTCATAATAGTTACGAATGAACAATTTTTTAGGCATAAATGCTACCAGCAAGGGGATTTCTTTTTTTTGAATTGAAAAAAGTGTCATCTTTGAACAACACGTTACGTGTAATTTCAATTGAATGAGCTGACTTGACACACAATTATACTGTGTGTCTCGTTTTCTATTATTTAACGTGTTTAATCTTTTGATTCCATTGATAGTTATTTATAATTCTTACATATTGTCGAGACTACGACTTGGTTATAACAATAGGCTGAGAATACTGAAAGCAATAAGTTGATGAACATCGGGTATCGTGCATTTTTTTTTTACGTCAGGAATCTTTATGGAATTTTGTGATGAAGATATTCGAATATTGTCTATGTTTATGTTAGATGATGTCCATAATCTTTGTACTAATGTTATGGACAGTAATAAAACATTCTTTGCATCTTCTTTATGTTTTAGTTAATTTAATATGCCATAATTCTTTTGAATTATTGAATATTGGTGATATATTTTTTGTATCCGATCATCAAGACTTGGCTGATCTTCGTTTGTCGAATAGCTTATTATTAAACCATTTTTAATATTGTCCATCGTAATCAGCAATACTACTGATCCTGTAATGTATAAAAGTATTGTAGTTACTCTGTTGTATAATTTTGCTTTCTAAAGTTGTGCATCTGTGAATCAAATGCTTAACCTTAGAGACTTTGAGTACATCTCTTTAGTTCTAGTCTTTTGACTCATAGGTAGGGATAAGGGGATATTTGAGAGAAAGATAACAAATATGTGATTTATATAAATATAATACCAAAATTCACCAAATGGAAATCATTGAAGTGTTTTAATAATTGAAACGTTATCAACGTATAAAGTCTTTAACTCAGGTTAAAATAAATTAAATTAGATTGATTCTAAATTAATGATTCAGTCAGTGCAGTTCTTCATTTTGATCGCAAATTAATTCAAATATTTATCAAAACTAATTGAATTAGAAAATTATCTTTATTTAATATTGAAGGCAAACAAAACTTACGATTTTAAGAAACGTGTCTCGATGATCCTTTATTTCAAATGCACACGAGTCCCTCAGCATGGCCTTTTCAAATTAGAAATGTTCTATGCTCTTCGTACGGCACACCCTCTTTTATAAATTTTCTTGCTTTTTGCCATGTAGCTTTTTCGAAAGTGAGAAAGTATTTGAAAATGTTTTTTTTTTAATTAATTTACTAAATCTTTCGTATTTTTCTATTGCAAAGAAATCATGGAAAAATTTCAGAAACTAACTTTCAGAAATAATCGTTATCCTCAATCCTGAATTTCATTGCTATTCATTTTTAGCTTTGCTTAAAATGTATTTAATAATTATTCCGAAAAGTAAATATACATAAATTCTCCCTTCTTCCGCCTTATGAAGACTTTTCTATTATCCTTCTGATTATCCATTAAAGTGGTATCGGTCAATTTCAAGAAAGTTATTCACGTGCTAAATACTCGTGTGGTCATGATCTTACTCGATTTTTTATATGTGGATATATTAGAGAACTAGCTTAGGCTACTATACCACCTTGTCCACTTTCAATATTTACGTTCGACATTTTTACATTGAGTAAAAAATTATTTCTGGAATCTATTCTTGCAAAATAAACTCATAAATATGTTATCAAATTTTCAGGATCACGAACACGCCAATGAGAAAAAGCTTTCATTATTTACATATTTATAAAACTTGCGGCTACATATATTTTTTTATTAAAAGTAACAAAAAATCTATAACTCAAAAACTATTAATGATAACTTCATGGGAACCATTTCAATCGAAAGAGCATCAAAAGTAACGAAACACATGTCTTTGTAATTTTTGAAATATCATTAACGACAGTAAACAAAATCGCAATTCAAAAATTTTTAATTGTTATTGCTTCATTATTTATCATCACAATAGTCACCGAATAAAATACGTCGTAACTAGAGATTGAGTAGTTGATGATGAGTCAAAATATGCTTGTTCGTTATTGTCATGTTGGCAAACATAAATATAATTCTCGTCAGAATCACTGATAAATTATTTCGGAGAGAAATTATTTTTGTAATCGTCATATACGGATTATTCAATGCTAGCATTTTGAACGAACGTGACATATTTTCATCATTCAGGAAATTGTAACATGATTTTTTCGCATTCATCATTAATACTATAGTGAATGGAAATTTGTGCTTTTTGTATTCATTTCAATTTCAGTGAATAGTCATTATTAACTTCTCAGTGAGAAGTTATAGTAATGAATTTTGACATATATCCACGTTTTATAGTCCCCAGAGTCGAATACGACCGTTTTTCAGTGAACGTCTGTGTATGTGCGTTCTGAATTATTTTTCGCCTCGATTATTTCAAGAACAAAAAATGATGTCAACGTGGAACCAACTGCATTCGACACGTAAGTGCGCAACTTAGAACTGATTAGGTTTTCAGCAAAATCGGTCCAGTAGTTTCTTATGCTGGAAAAATGGTGAACTACCTAAACTTTGAAATTTATAAATTATATCATTTTTTAGACAAAATTACGAGATCTTTTGATTCTTCCATTGCTGATTTTGTTTTTTGCGTTAAAAGTACTCATATACATAGCAAGGATCCCTATTTTTATTGTTTATAACAATTTGAAACTTTTTATTTAACTATTACCATGATCAATGATTATTTGTTAACAACAATGTTTAATTGTTGTGGACACAATTCTATATCATTAATAATAGTTATTGACTATTATAGCGTCTTTGATGCTGTTTTCTCAATCCTGACACGAGTTTAAAATTCTTTCATTGCTGATTTTGTTTTTTGTCTAAAAAATGGTATAATTTATAAATTGCAAAATTCAGGTCGTTTTTCATTTTTGCCCATTTTTTGGTTCTGCAAAGAAAATGGCTGGACCGATTTTGCTTAAAATTTAATTATTTCTAAGTTACATAATTACGCGTCAAATGCAATTGGTCCCACATCGATATGATTTTTTGTTCTCGAGATAATCGACCAGGAAAATTCCGAACGAACGTACGTACATACACACACATACGTCCACTGGAATACGATCGTATTCGACTCTGGGGACCTTAAAATGTGGAGATATGTCGAAATTCGGGATTCGTAAAATCGGACCCATTACTATAACTTCCCACTAGAGGGTAGGGGCTACCGTAGAGGTGAACCCAAAAAATCGAAGAAATTAATGGAAATCTTATAACACCAACATCTTATGCATAGCAGCTGTATTGAAGTAAAAGTTTGGAATATTTTGAAAAATCAGCATAACATAAGACAAATCAGAATATAAAACAACAATATTTAAAATTATTTTTACTGTTGACAACTGGTATTTACAACCGGGCTCTGCGTTAATATTACAATAATGCTAATGAATTTTTAATCAAAAACTATACGCTTGTATTCATTGTTTAATAATAAACTAACCTTCAATTGCAAAAACTTTGGTAAATTTGATGTAGCAAAGTAATGATATACAATAGCTATTCACTAAAATTAAATTGATAATGAACTAGCAGATTCCCGTGACTTCGTCCGCAAATAAGCCAATCTCAAAAACCTATTGCTGTGTAATAAGATTAATAAGAAAATAATATATGCATAAGTATTGATAATAAAAGGAAATGATTCGAATTCCATCGAAAGACTCAATTTTTGTTCCTCTACAAAAAATTATATGTTGGAAACAAAAAAAAAACGGTTTATAATCATTTTACATGGTTTGTAACTTTATTTCAGTGGAAAAAAAGTACGCGTATATTTAAGTCCAGTTCTTTGGTTTAGTTCTATTTTGAATTATAGAAAATATGCTTTACACGGCAGGAATATGGCGGCTTTTGTACGGGAAAATGGAGGCCAAAATGCAAAAAACGTCAAAAAATATATATTATTTGCGATTATTTTTTCTTTATCTTATCATTCTAAGTTTGCGATAAGCTCATATGGCGTAAATTGACTTTTCCAAGAATTTCCAATGAAATCTTAAATTTTGAAAATGGCGTATTCATTATGGCAACTGAAAAACAGAGTAAATTTACTGTTTTTCTTAATTTTCGGAAAATTCTCGTATTTTTATGGGTGTATATATTTTTTGACGTTTTTTGCATTTTGGCCTCCATTTTCCCGTACAAAAGCCGCCATATTCCTGCCGTGTAAAGCATATTTTCTATAATTCAAAATAGAACTAAACCAAAGAACTGGACTTAAATATACGCGTACTTTTTTTCCACTGAAATAAAGTTACAAACCATGTAAAATGATTATAAACCGTTTTTTTTTTGTTTCCAACATATAATTTTTTGTAGAGGAACAAAAATTGAGTCTTTCGATGGAATTCGAATCATTTCCTTTTATTATCAATACTTATGCATATATTATTTTCTTATTAATCTTATTACACAGCAATAGGTTTTTGAGATTGGCTTATTTGCGGACGAAGTCACGGGAATCTGCTAGTTCATTATCAATTTAATTTTAGTGAATAGCTATTGTATATCATTACTTTGCTACATCAAATTTACCAAAGTTTTTGCAATTGAAGGTTAGTTTATTATTAAACAATGAATACAAGCGTATAGTTTTTGATTAAAAATTCATTAGCATTATTGTAATATTAACGCAGAGCCCGGTTGTAAATACCAGTTGTCAACAGTAAAAATAATTTTAAATATTGTTGTTTTATATTCTGATTTGTCTTATGTTATGCTGATTTTTCAAAATATTCCAAACTTTTACTTCAATACAGCTGCTATGCATAAGATGTTGGTGTTATAAGATTTCCATTAATTTCTTCGATTTTT